GCCTGCCACCGCTGCCGCCGCGCCGGAGCCTGCAGAATGCGTGGAGTTTACCGCGGAGCCCGCTGGCATGCAGGAGATCGTGGTGGCCATGACGGCGGTGGGCGGCTCCATCTGCGTCATGCTCGTGGTCATCTGCCTGCTGGTGGCCTACATCACCGAGAATCTCATGCACCCGGCCTTTGGGCGCCCCGGTCTGCGCAGGCAGCCCTGAAGCGCAAGTCGGCCAGTCCACATGGATGCCACCTGTCCTGAGTGCGCCTGGGACTCCAGGCCCTCAGCCCGCTGTCCTCCTCTTCCGGCCCCCTCCTTAGGATCCCCACGGAGGGCCTGCTGGAGATGAATAGGGGACCGGTTGGCCCGACACCTTGGCATCATCACACGACCTTCCTGGAGTCCCAGACTGGCTTGGGACTGGCCCTTGGACCTGGGCTGCAGTGCCAGCCGTGTCTAGAGCACTCCTGCTCTGCAGAGGCCTTTATTAGGGGCAGCCAGGACGTATGGCCCCTTCCAGCAAGAGCCATTGGCATCCCTGGATCATTGCCCTGCACCTCCATCCTGTGCCAAGTTGTTTAAGCCAGGCTATCATCATTGCTTGGTCACTGTGTGCTTTGCAGGTCCCAGGGGCCGGGCCCATGGAGCGTGTCCTTCCCTTGCACCACCCCAGTGGGCTTAGATTAGCTTTGTGCCTTAGTATCTCGGGCTCACTGCAGGATCCAGCCACCTGTCCCCTTGCTGTCCAAGGGGGTCTGTGGCCCTGAGACTGGCCAGCATGTTTGTGCTTCTGGCCAGAGTCCTCCTGGGGACAGCCCCCCTCAAGCTTTGCAGAAGTGTGGGGTGAGGGTAAGGAGTTCTGTGTTTTCCTGTGTGGGTGTCTGACAAGACGGGAACCTCAGTGTAGCTCAGGGGGTGGTCCCAGAGTCCAGCTGCTGCGTCGAGGGATGAGTGTCCTCTGATGTAAAAAGGCAGGCGATTCTCCAGGGCCAGGCATCCTGATTTCCTCTGTGTGTGCAGCCTCTGGCTAGGGCTTTCTGAGGGGAGCTGGGGACAAGGATGGACACTAGCTTCGCCTAGCCAGGCCTTCCTCTGTGGTCTGGATCTCAGCTTCAGCCAGCCCAGGACACCTTAGTAGCCATGGTGTGTTCAACAGCACTACCCTCAACTCTTTCCAACCTTGGGATCAAGAGCTCAGGGTCTGACCCTGTTGATGCTGCCTGCCTGCCATGGACACCCCCAGGCAGAGCAGCACGCACACACACAAGGAAGTGTGTGTAGCAACCCCGGTCCAGGTTGCATTCTGTGATGACCACCTGGTGATGTGGGGCACCAGGAAGAGTGTGGCACCACCTGACTCTTCCTGAAACCCTGGCTCTGATTCCTGGACTTGTACCTCCTGGTCATTGTGACTCCCCACCCTACCCCCACCTTCCGCCTCACTCCAACAACCACCAGAGACCCTGGGCCCTGGCTGGTGCTTGTGCAGCACCCCTACCCTACCTCTGTCTTTGCTCTGCCTGCCCCTGCGTGATGCTGGTCAGGTGCAAACCAGGCACCCATGTCTAAATGTCCATTATTCTCAGACTGAAAATGCTGTCTTGTGTGTTTATTTGGGAGATGAGAGAGAATGGTGCAGAAACGAGGGAAGAAGTACTTCCCATCTCCAAGGTCCTCAGGTATCAGCTCAGGGGCTGGCCTCAAACCCTGTTCATGATCTAGGTGGGGTGGGTCCGGGCACTCTGCCCTTGCGATTTTCTGGCAGGATTTCAGGCAGGGTGTTCCACTGCTCATCTGTCTACCCTTGGGCCTTGGAAGAGTGTCTTTTCCTGGACCAGCTGTGTTGGCAGGAGTGGGGGAGGCAGCACCTGGTGACTTAGAAATAGCCCAGTCTCAGGGTGACCCACTTGAGCTGCGACAGGCAGCAATTAGGCAGTGCTGGAGGAGGAGAGAAGGGAGAGCTCCTCTCCAGGCTGTGGCCTAAGCAGAGGCAGAGCAGGGCTGGTGGGGTGGGGATGAACAGAGGATGGGAGGGTGGGTCCTACGTGTACCCTCTCCACTCAGTACACTTCCTACCCAGGCTATCTTTGGGACAGCCTGGAGCTTGCTGTGACCCTGAAAAAGCAGAAACTGCTGGTGGTGGGGGGAGCGGAGTGTGGCAGTGAGCCAGATTCTAAGGAGTGACTCATCCCTGGGTTAGAGGAGTACGTGAGGGGAGGGAGGGTGCAGTAATGTGTCTAGACAGTGGAGAGCAGGAGTGTGTGTGTGTGTGTGTGTGTGTGTGGGGGGGGGTTCTGGTTCCAGCAGCCTCCTGTCCTGACTTTCTGGGGAGACCAGATGTATTCAGGTGTCTTACCAAGGATAGGGGACCAGCATACAGTGTAATGGTTGTTACTGGACTCCCATGTAGTCAACTGTGGTTCAAGTCCCAGCCCTGGCGGCTTAAAACTCATGCTGGCCCCATGTGTGTGCATGCCCAAGATCCCAGGAGGAGAATGGAGGAGAAGGGATTGCAGCATGGCCATCCCCCCTGGGGGGTGATTTCTTGCTTTCTGTCTGTCTCTCTCTCTGGCGAGAACACGTGCCCTATAGCAAAAATATTTCTCTCAAAAAGTAATACTGGGGCTTGTGGGTGGGATGGTGATTAAGGGTTCTGGATTCCCACATGGCTGACCGTAGTTCGAGTCCTGGACCTGGTGGCTTGCTTTCTCACTTTCCCTCTTTCTCTCTCACTCTGTCCCTCTTGGGTCAAATTTAAATAAAGTTAAATAAAATAATTCTTTGAAAAAGTACCAACAAGGATAGAAGAGGGGCCCCAGTATCCAGCTTCTAGGTTCTTGGGAACAGCCAAGTCCCAAAGCTGGGACTATATGGTCTGTTTTAGAGCTGTTTTCCCTGGGCCTCCACCCTTCCAGGCCTCTCTGGGCGTGAGCTCCCACCAGCTGAAGCCAAAGGTCCAGACTGTCAGCCAGTTCTGAGGGGTTTCTTAGACCTAGAGTCCAACTTCAGGTATCCAGAGTTGGGGCTTGAGCAGCCCTGCCCTGCAAGGTCCAGTAGACAAGCCACACCCAGTCGTCTGCCTCTTAGACTGGCTCCACCATCCTCTCAAGGGCACAAGGACACCCTGTCCTCCACAGGGTCCATCCAGAAGGCTGACAGTGCACCTCTACTTCCTGGAGTAGCCTCCCTCCCCATCCCATGTTTCTGTCTCTATCCCTCTGTCCTTCCCTCTTTCCATTTCTTCCTTCGTTTCTCTCCCTCTCTCTCAGATCATGGTGCTCTGTTCTCCTTAATGACCACTTCTACTTCTGGGTGGGTAGATGTGTCTGTGTAACGCCATGATGGTTTCTCTCTGCCCTGGAGGTGAGATCTGGACTCTAACTTCCTAGGATGGAGAAGTAATCTGCTTTGATTCTGGAACACTCTTGGCTACTCGGGCAGTCATCCTTACAAGAGCCACGTAGGGGTGGTGCAGGCAGTCGTGTGTTGCTCTGCAATCCTGCAAACCAGATGGCTGACAGTGGATTCAGAGCCTGAGTCAAGCTGAAACATGCCAGGTGAAAGCGCATGTGCCCAAGATCCTGATGAGCTGGAGGGCTCAGAGAAGAGGATTGCATTGTGATGAGACCCTGTTGTGTACTCTGTTGTGCATGTGCTCTCTCATGAAAGAAATAAAATAAAAAAAAAATAAAACGTAAATGTATTTTTAAAAAGAGAAAGCCATGTAGCACTTTCAGCCCCTCCACTTCTTCATCTGTAAAGTGGGAACAGTAATAACTAACCCAACTTACCAACAGGTAGAAATGAGTAAGTCATTGCTACTGTCCGAGCCGCAGCTAGAACTGCTCACTGGGCCAAGACCCCCAGCACCACATCCCCAGCCTGATCTGCTCCAGACACGTGATCCTTCTTGAAATTTCCACTACAGTAACTCAGGGACATCTTACCCTTCCATGTCCAAACCAGAACCCTGACCGCCCACTTCCTGAACAATAGTGTACGTCCTCATCACAGCCAGCTGGAATAATCCAGTCGTTCTGTGAACGTGAACTGAAGGCTCTCATGTCCCTTGTGCTGAGGCAGTTGTTCCCTCCACTGCTCCACCAGGATGGGTGGTGGTACATGCCAGACCTCAAAGGAGCCAGCTTTACTATCATGTAAGAAGGTCACCCCTCCTGGGTGGGGACAGGACACACAAAACAGCAGTGACAGGCAGAGAGGAAAATACACGATGTGGGGCTATCTTAGGACTGGGTGTCAGGATTGTTGAATCTGGTCTTCAGGGACAGCCTAAGGAGCTGCTGAGACAAAAGGTTTGGCCACTCTAGCCGGATAGTAGAGTGTCTTGGGTACCTGACACCCCAGACATCCAAACCTCTCTGGGAGGTGGAAGAGAACCCTTATCTGGGGCATTACGTGCCCACTCTAGGTAGGGGGATAGGGCCCATTCCACGAAGGGAGGTATTCAAAGATCAGCAGCACACCTCTTTTTAATTCTGAAGCTTGTTTTTTGTTTAGTTTTTGCTATAGTATATGGAGTGTACATTCACTGGGAAAAGAGAAAGAGAGAGAGAAATCACCCCACAGGGGAAATGGCTATCTGCAACCCCCTCTCTTCCCTTCTCTTCTCGAGATTTTGGGCATGCATGCACACACGTCCAGTATGTTTTTCAAGCTTCCGGGTCTGGGACTCTAGCTGTGAAGCTGGCTATGTGGGATCCAGTTGTCTTAATCACCATGCCTGGGCTGGCTGGCCCCTTCTAAAGTTTTTCTTGTGGCCATTATCTCCCTCAGGTTCCCTTTTGCATCGTCAGTCTTTTTGTAACCAAGCCATAAGACAATCAAAGTAACTATTGTTAGTTCCTACAAGAGCCACATAGGCCTCAGATTATTTACTCTCTTGACTTTTTGAAGAATCTAACCCAAACGTGGATATCCGATCAAATCATACAATTTCTATCAATAATATGAATGACTAAATTAAAAAAATAATCTTCTTTTTTTGAGAAGTTTTTGCTATAGGGCGTGTGCGCTTGCCAGACAGAGAGAGACAGAGAGACAGAAAGCGAGAAATCACCCCCCAGGGGGGATGGCCACACCACAATTCCTTCTCCTCCATTCTCCTCTCGGGATCTTGGGCATGCACGCACACGCGCCCAGCGTGAGTTTAAGCCACCGGGTCTGGGACACGAACCGCGGTTGACTACGTGGGAGTCCAGCAACATAGCCATTACGCTAGCTGCTGGTCCCTAAATTAAAAAAAGAATTGAAGCAATGCCCTTTTTTCTCAGTTTGGCTATGCAGTAGATACTGTGGCTTTAAAGACCATGAAGATAAGGGGGCAGGCCTTTGTTTAAAGAACTGGGTTCATCCACCAACGCTGAGGCAGTTACAAGGATTTCCTTTTTATGGTAAGCCAATGCAAATCTAATACGCAAAAACAGATTCTGACATATCTAAAAAGTGTGGCACTTTTGATGACAAAGAAAAAAATAAAAGAAAAAAGTCAAAATTGTGAACCAGACGGCAACAACTACAAACAAAAAACCTAGCCAAGGAACACCAAATTCAGCTAATACCCAAGGAAGTTCAACACCAAATCCTCAAATATCTGGTTACCCTCCAAACTATATTTTGTTCCTTAATAATTTACCAGAAGAGACTAATGAGATGATGTTATCCATGTTGTTTAATCGATTCCTTGGCTTCAAGGAAGTTACGCTTGGTACCTGGGAGGCATGACATTGCTTTTGCTGAATTTGAAAATGGTGGGAAGGCTGGAGCTGCCAGGGATGTTTTGTAAGGATTTAAAATCACACCATCTCATGCCACGAAGATTGCATGTGCCAAAAAAGACCTCTTTTTTAAAGAATTTTTTTTTAAGATTTAGTTTATTTATTTATTCATTTATTTTTTAATTTGAGAGAGAGAGAGAGAGCGAGAGAGCGCAAACAAGCCACCTGGCTATGTGGGATCCAGTTGTCTTAATCACCATGCCTGGGCTGGCTGGCCCCTTCTAAAGTTTTTCTTGTGGCCATTATCTCCCTCAGGTTCCCTTTTGCATCGTCAGTCTTTTTGTAACCAAGCCATAAGACAATCAAAGTAACTATTGTTAGTTCCTACAAGAGCCACATAGGCCTCAGATTATTTACTCTCTTGACTTTTTGAAGAATCTAACCCAAACGTGGATATCCGATCAAATCATACAATTTCTATCAATAATATGAATGACTAAATTAAAAAAATAATCTTCTTTTTTTGAGAAGTTTTTGCTATAGGGCGTGTGCGCTTGCCAGACAGAGAGAGACAGAGAGACAGAAAGCGAGAAATCACCCCCCAGGGGGGATGGCCACACCACAATTCCTTCTCCTCCATTCTCCTCTCGGGATCTTGGGCATGCACGCACACGCGCCCAGCGTGAGTTTAAGCCACCGGGTCTGGGACACGAACCGCGGTTGACTACGTGGGAGTCCAGCAACATAGCCATTACGCTAGCTGCTGGTCCCTAAATTAAAAAAAGAATTGAAGCAATGCCCTTTTTTCTCAGTTTGGCTATGCAGTAGATACTGTGGCTTTAAAGACCATGAAGATAAGGGGGCAGGCCTTTGTTTAAAGAACTGGGTTCATCCACCAACGCTGAGGCAGTTACAAGGATTTCCTTTTTATGGTAAGCCAATGCAAATCTAATACGCAAAAACAGATTCTGACATATCTAAAAAGTGTGGCACTTTTGATGACAAAGAAAAAAATAAAAGAAAAAAGTCAAAATTGTGGAACAGACTGCAGCAACTACAAACAAAAAACCTAGCCAAGGAACACCAAATTCAGCTAATACCCAAGGAAGTTCAACACCAAATCCTCAAATATCTGGTTACCCTCCAAACTATATTTTGTTCCTTAATAATTTACCAGAAGAGACTAATGAGATGATGTTATCCATGTTGTTTAATCGATTCCTTGGCTTCAAGGAAGTTACGCTTGGTACCTGGGAGGCATGACATTGCTTTTGCTGAATTTGAAAATGGTGGGAAGGCTGGAGCTGCCAGGGATGTTTTGTAAGGATTTAAAATCACACCATCTCATGCCACGAAGATTGCATGTGCCAAAAAAGACCTCTTTTTTAAAGAATTTTTTTTTAAGATTTAGTTTATTTATTTATTCATTTATTTTTTAATTTGAGAGAGAGAGAGAGAGCGAGAGAGCGCAAACAAGCCACCAGGTCCAGGACTTGAACCATGGTTGGCCATGTGGGAGCGTCCAGTGCCTTAACCACCACGCCACCTGCCGTCCCCCTGAAGAATTATTTTTGATTTAACTTTTTTTTTTTTTAAGAATTATTTTCTTGGGACCAGCAGGTGGCGTTTATAAAAAAGAATTATTTTCTTTAACTTTATTTATTATTATTATTATTTTCCAATTTGATCAGAGAGACACAGAGAGAGAGAGAGAGAGAGAGAAGAAGAAGTGAAAAAACAAGCCACCGGGTCCAAGACTTGAACTGTGGTCAGCCATGTGGGAGTCCAGCGCCTTTAACCACCATGCCACTTGCTGGCCCAAATTTTTGACTTAACTTTATTTTAATTTGACCAGAGAGGGACAGAGTGAGAGTGAGAGAGAGAAAAAGTGAGAAAGCAAGCTGCTAGGTCCAAAACTCGAACCGTGGTAGGCTATGTGGGAGTCCAGCACCTTTAACCACCATTCCATCAGTTAGCCCCAGAAATAACTTTTAGAAGAGTATCTATAAAGGACTTGGTGTTACTTATAGTGTTTTTGATAATATTTGGTCAGGTCATTTTAATTGTTGGAGAGGAAATGAAAGTGAAATTTTTGTGAAGGACTTAAAAAAATTAGTCTTTGGCCTTAGTGAATAATGAAATATGAATGTGTCCCGAACCCGCGAGACGAATCGGGCAGGGTAACTCGAGCAAGGGGGCGGAGGTCTGGAACCGGCGCAGCAACGTCTCAGCACGGGAGCGAAAGAAGTATCACAGCTCACATAGTGTCACAGCTCTTGATGTAAAAGTTTCGCTCATTTATTGAGGGCTAGAGCGCTTTCTTATATACACAAGGTAGAGGGAGGTAGGCGGGGTTTACAGCGGACCTTATTGAGGACCTGCCAGCTCTGTGTGAACCAGGGGGTCTGCATTCCTGGTGTCTGTGTCAAGGTCGCACCGGCCATTCTTAAGCAGTGAAGGTCATGACAGCCATTTTGATGTGGGCGGCTCCCCACATGAATGCTTTAATTTTGTACAGTAAGTTTTATTTGTATTTTAAAAAAAGAAAAAACAAAGTGACTCTATTGTATTTAGTTTTGGAGTCTATCCTTTTTTTTTTTTTTAACCAGTGGTGAAACATTTTTATTTCATGGTGGTCTTTAAAATTGGAAAGACACTATTTTTTTTGTATAAAAACATTAGTACAGGAAACAGCAGTGGGTGTAATGGCTATGTTGCTGGACTCCCATGTAATTGACCACAGTTTGAGTCCCAGATTCGGTGGCTTAAACTCATTACAGGCGCATGTGCGAGCGAGCCCAAGTTCCTGAGAGGAGAATGGAGAAGGGATTGCGGCATGGCCATCCCCCCAGGGGGTGATTTCTTGCTTTCTGTCTCTCTTGCTCTTTCTGGCGAGCACACAAGCCCTGTAGTGAAAACCTCTCAAAAAAAAAAAAAATTAGTACAGATAGCTATACTTTCTAGAAAATGATTATGTAAACCTTTTCAAATAAAAATGCTCTCCATTATAACTCTTTGGAGAGGCTGCTTGGAAAAAACTCAACTGATTCCTACAACATACTATTCTAGCACTCTGTATCTTTTGGTCCAAAGTGTAGATTACTGTCATCATCACTGTAATATGTTCCTGCTTTCTTACATGTTTGATAACACACATATTGACAAATTTATCACTTAATGTTCCATCAGTTCATCGGCCTTTTCTGCAGGTTCATCAGCAGGCTGGGCAGGCTGTACCTTTCTCTGTGGTCTTTCTTCAAGGCCCTCCAGGAACGGAGACATATCATTGTCATTATAGATTGTAAACTCCAAGTCTTTACCAACAATTCCAATGGAAACATTCTTTGTAGTTAGGTCCTGCTCTGCAGGAAGAGTCTCTCTTAAGGCATGTAGACCATATTTAACCAGTTCATTCAAATTACAGTCCATAAACTCAGACATAGTCTCTCCAAGTATGAGCTGACTGAGAACAGGCTCCAATGGACACAGTGCTGCAGTCCAAACAGTTAGGAGATGGACAAGTTTGGAAAATGTGAGGGCCCATATTATCATAACCAGCAATGAGTAGCCCAACATCATATTGTCTCTGGCCATATCATTGTGTTGGTATCTGGGTTTTGCTTCCAATTGGAGACATAAGCAGAGATACAGAAGTGGCCTATCAAATACAAACCTGGAATCCAAACACTCTTGGCGCATAAAATTACATAACAGTCTAGCATCCGCAGTAAGCCCTGCAATTGAGATACCAATATGGTTGCCAATATGAAGAATTTGTTTCTGGGAACCAGCAGTTAGCATAATGGCTATGTCGCTGGACTCCCATGTAGTCGACTGCGGTTTGCATCCTAGACCCGGTGGCTTAAAACTCATGCCAGGCATGTGTGCGTGCGTGCCCGAGATCCCGAGAGGAGAGTGGAGGAGAAGGGACTGCGGCGTGACCATCCCCTTTTATTTCTCACTTTCTGTCTCTATGTCTCTCTCTGTCTGCCTGGCGAGTGCACACGCCCTATAGTGAAAACCTCTCAAAAAAAAAAAAAAAAAGAATTTGTTTCTGATGAGCTGCAAACTCTGACTGTGCCCTCTTCAGTGCAACCAACATGGCATGGGTCTTCATTTCAGACCAACTGGGGCTGAACCCTGTTAAATAGCTTCCATAGCATATTCAGTTTGATGAATCCTGCCCTGAGGCTCCAAACAGTGACATCATTGTCATAATGGTTTTGAAACATGGTTCCAGCACCAGCCTGGTTGCTGCCTCCTGCATACCTATGATTCAAGGAATATTGCCAAATCTATCTTCTTTTAAAAAAGAATTGTTTTACTTGAACTTTATTCATTTATTTTTAATTTGGCCAGAAAGGGACTGAGTGAGAAAGAACAAGACAGAGACACTTAAGTGAGAAAGCAAGCAACCAGGTCTGGGACATGGTCCGGCCATGTGGGATGGAGTCCAGTATCTAACCACCATGCTACTTGCCGGTCCCTTGGAGTCTATCTTAGTAGACTTAGTAGGAAAACCAGTCTTTTACTTCTTTCACTTCACAATGAGTCTTACAGAACCTAAACGCTTGCCTTCCTCACACAGGTGGAACCTGATGCTTAACTAATGGAAGTTAACGATAACCTTGCTGAGTCTTTACAGATACTGGGCTATGGAGATAGGAAAGATACCCCAGCCTCCTCCCATAGGACTTGTTTACAAGATTTTCACCAATTCATGCATTGTAGTTTCCCTATTATTTTGTTTTTTAGAGAGAGATTTTTGCTATAGGGCACATGCATTTGCCAGAGACATAGAGACAGAGAGACAGAAAGCAAGGTATCACTCCCAAGGGTGATGGCTATGCCACAATCCCTTCCCCTCCAGTTTCCTCTTGGGATTTTTGTGTTTTTTTTGAGAGGTTTTTACTATAGGGTCTTTGTGGCCGCCAGACAGACAAAGACAGAGAAAGAGAAAGCAAGAAATCATCCCCCAGAGGGGATGGCCACGCTGCAATCCCTTCTCCTCCATTCTCCTCTCGGGATCTTGGGCATGCACGCACATGCACCAGGTGTGAGTTTAAGCCACCGGGTCCGGGACTTGAACCACGTTTGACTACGTGGGAGTCCAGCGACATAGCCATTAAGCTAACTGCTGATCCCTCCTCTTGGAATTTTGGGCACATATGCACATGCACTTAAGTGTGTTTTAAGTCGCCGGGTCCGGGACTCAAACTGGTCAACTACATGGGTGTTCAGTGACATAACCAGTACACCATCTGCTGGCCCCTCCCTATACTTTTTGTTGTTGGCTTCACAATTTTAACTTATTTAGGTCTTTATTTAGAAGTCATTTAAAAAAAAATATTTATTTTAATTTTGCCCAGAGAGGGACAGAGTGCGAGAGAGAGTGAAAGAGAAAGTGAGTAAACAAGCTGCCATGTCCGGGCCTCAAACTGTGGTTGGCGATGTGGGACTCCAGCACCCTCAACCACCAAGCCACCTGCTGGCCCTAGAAGTCACTTTTGTATATAGCATAAAGAAGGGATTCAACATTTTGTATAGTGATCCAATTTTACCAACTTGATCTACAAAAACGACCCATTCTTTTCCAATGATACGTAATCCCCATATGCACATGGGCGTTTATGGCCTAGTGAATCCTGTAGGTCTGTGTGTCTTTTCCTGCAACAGTACTACATCATTTTTATTATTATAACTTTTTTTTTTAAAAAAGAATTATTTCATTGGCAGCCAGCAGGTGGCATGATAGTTAAAGGCGCTGGACTCTCACATGGCAGACTGTAGTTCAAGTCCCATCCCAAACCTGGTGACTTGCTTTCTCACTTTCCCACTCTCTCTCTTCTGATCAAACTGGAAAATAATAATAATAATAATAATAAATAAAGTTCAATAAAACAATTCTTTTTTTTGGGGGGGGGATAGATTTTCGCTATAGGGTGCCTGAGCTTGCCAAAAAGACAGACAGAAAGTGAGAAATCACCCCCCCCCCAGGGGGGATGGCCACGCCCCAATCCTTTCTCCTGCATTCTCCTCTCGGGATCTTGGGCACTCATGCACACACAGTTTAAGCCACTGGGTCTGGGACTTGAACTGCAGTTGACTACATTGGAATCCAGCGACATAGCCATTATGCCAACTGCTGGTTCCAAAATAATTCTTTTTAAAAAGAATTATTTTATTGAACTTTATTTTATTTATTTATTTAAATTTGAACAGAGAGAGACAGAGTGACAAAGAGAGAGAAGGAAAGGGAAAAGGCAAGCCGCTAGGTCTGGGACTCTAACCCGGGTTGGCCATGTAGGAGTCCAGCACCCTTAACACTACACCACCTGCCGGCCCCTATTATTATAACTTTGATATCTTTTTTGCAGGGGTAGATTTTCGCGATAGGGCATGTGCACTAGTTGAAGAGAGAGACAGTGAAAAGGAAAGTGAGAAATAATCTCCTATCAAGGAGGATGTTTCCTCTGAAACGCTGGCTTTTTGACCTCCTCCACCAAGAGGGCTGGTTTCTACCTCTGCCTACCATTCCACCTTTCTAGGCATACCGACTATTTCCACATTTTCAGTTTCGATCTCTTCCATCACTTCGCTGAAGATATAATTCCTACATTGCATTGGGTTCTCCAGTTCAGTGTCCACAGTACCTTTTCACAGCTGCCACGCTTTATGCTTTTATTTCTCATCTTATCTGGTTCTGTTTCCATGATGGATTCTCGCCATTCCTTTGCCCCTTCTCCTCCTACCTGCACTCCCAAAGCAAAACAACAACTCACCGCCCACTCCAAGCCTGCATGCAAGTAGCAAGCTGGACAACAGAAACGTGTGGCTGGCCTCGCTTCACTGTAACGTCGTGACCAAAACTCAATCCTAACACAAGCACTTTGTCAACATGCGCTCTCAACTGGGTCTTTCGTAGGTCATCTCTAATTTTTTCATCCTAATACTTTAACCATAATTCCACTTATATGTTAAACTAAGTACTACTGAAGGCGTGAGCGCAGTCGGAGAACAGGACAGGAGCAACACTGAGGATGCGGACCATCGGCAAGTTCGGCGACTGGCAGAGAGAGCGCTTCGAGGGAAGCGCGACGACTGGCTGCAGGCCAGAGAAACACGAGCCGGAACGAGGCAGAGGGAACTAGCGATACCGTAGCCAATGCGGGATCAAGCTGACGCGGAGCTCATCGCGTCACCTCCAGAAACGCCGGCGGGGCCTTATGACGCCACGCACGAGTGTGCGTCGCCTGCGCGACGGAGGGGACGTTATGACGAAAAGACGCCGGTGCGGGAGGCCGGACAGGCAGCGCGGTGCGGAGCGCAGGCTTCAGGCTGAGCACACCCGGGACGGACGCAGCTGGCCGCATCCCTTGCCCACTGTGGCGCCGGCCGGCCCTCTCCTCCGCCCGTGACCCGGCGCTCGGCGAGTAGGGCGTAGCCACCTAAGGCCGCCGCGCCGCGGCGCGGCCCACGCGCTAACGTCGTCTACGTCGCCGCTTCCGTATCGTTTAATTCCGGACGCCGCGGCGCCCCTTT